TAGAAACCAGTGAAGATTATCAAATTTGTATCTAATGCATCTCCTAAAAAGTTCCTTTTGGCTGTTTCATGACCAGTAATTTCCATTACTGAAGACTCAAAGACATACTTCACCCCAAAGTCTGTAACAAAGTAATTTGTTAATTTATTGACACAGAAAGTAGAGTCACTTAATTAGTGTGTGAACCTACAATGACAGCTACTTAAAAAATTCATTTATTTTGTGCACCTATTTTGGTATGTATACACATGCCATTTGTGTGCTTATGTGGAGATCAGAGTACACTTTGTGGCAGTCAGTTCTCTCCTTCCACTATGGGTTCTGGGGACCAAGTCAGGTCATCAGACTTGGTGGCAAGCACCTTTATGTGCTGTGCCACCTCACCTGCCCGACCAATTACTTTACCAAATAAACAGTATTTGTTTAGTGTGTGTGCTGTATACATGTCTTCAGGGTACACAGAGGCAGAGGACACAGGTATCCTGTTTTCATCACTTCTCTGCCTTACTCCTTTGAGACAGGGTCTCTCAATGAACCTGGTGCTAGGCTAGTGGCCAACAAACCCTAGTGATCTTACATGTCATGTTGTGGCCGTGACTGACTTTTTTTAATTGATTTTTTGTGTGTGTATTTCATACACAACATCCCAAACAATCTTACTTATCTTTATACCCGCATCCCAAATGGCACCCTCCCATAGCCTCTGCCCCCTAAGCCCATATACTGTCATCCCTGTTACTGTCCACTGTGTTGCATGACTGACTTTTTATGTGAATGCTGGGGATTTGAACTTAGGTTCTCATGTTTGAGTGGGAAGTGCTCTTGCCTGTTCAGCTACCTCCCTACCCCTCCCTTATATTTTTATTTTTGGAAATAATTCTTTGAAATGTTTCTGTCCCCATTAAATAGAAGAAAAGAAGAAGCCAATTACATATTGTGTTGGCAGTAAAGGAGATATTGGGATATATTCCATAATGGCAAGAAAACTACCAGAGTCAAAATTTAAGATATTTCTCTAAGTACTTTAATTTTTTTGTTTTGCTTTTTGAAGAATCTCACTATGTAGCCCTGGCTGTCCTGGAACTTGCTATATAGATCAGGTTGACTTCAAATGCAGAGCTCAAACTCACAGAGATCCGCCTGCCTCTGCCTCCCGAGTGCTGGGATTAATGATGTGCACCAGCACAACTGGTAAACTATCTCAATCCTTTGTTACTGTTCTTCTAGTAAATAACACCCCAATTTTACTGTCTTTCAATAGTACTTTTTCTCTAAAGGGATAGTTTCCTTGCTATATATTAAAAAAAGATAATGGGACTGGGGATATAGCTCAGTGGTAGAACTCTTGCCTAGTATGCATGAGGCTGTAAATTTAATTCCTACCCCCCCCCCCAAAAAAACCTTGAGGGCTAGAGAGGTGGCTCAGTTGGTAAAGTGCTTACCATAAGGATCTGAGTTTGATTTTTAGAACCTACCTAAGAAGCTAAGTGGTGGCAGCCCATGCTTGTAATTCTAACGTTGGAGAGCAGACAGGCAGATCCCTGGGGCTCACTGGCCAGCCAGTCTAGTCAAATCCATGAGATAAACCCTGTCTGAAAGGTGGACCACTCCAGAGGAATGACACTGAAAGTTGATCTCCGCTCCCCAAATACATACATCAGGTGTATCCAAGTACATGTGTGCACACACACACACACACACACAAAAGTACACATACAAATTTTCATTATTAAGCAAAAAGTAAACAAGTTCTCATGAGACTAAGATTATTTATGGCATTGTTGCATGTAGTAACCCTTCTCAGTTTCTAGTGAACGGTATGTAATTTTTTGTCCAGATCACAATAATATAAGCAGTTTAGATTATGGGCATAAGGAACCAACCATAAAGGAGTTGTCTCAAGTTTTCTGTTTCAGTTGCATCACTAATCAAATATCCTAATGAATGACATAAAACTTGTCAGAGCTGCAGTGTGGTCCAAACAATACAACAAGTAAAAGTGCAGTTTTAGGTTCAAACTTTTCAATTAATGTAAGGTACTGTAAATGTAAATGAAGACATAAATGCTAAGAATTTATTATAAGTAATGCACCATAGTTTTAAGAGCTGCTTGAAAGATGCATTAGGGAGCAAAAGAAAAATAAAAGGAGATGAACAGGCAAGAATATGGGAAGAGCAGGTTGGTATTAATCCTAGAGAACATGATTGCATGTTGAGATCAATCATCCAACCTTGGAATAATTTCCCTTGTTTAATCTGCCTCTTCCTTACCAGCAGCAACTCCATCTTTCAACTTGCAGCTTCTCAATTACAGGTGTAAGTGGGGATAATGAACAAAAAACAGCTAGGGGCCTTGTTCCTCAGAGCTGCTTTTTGAAGTGACTGCCAGAGCTCTGGTAAAGCCCAAGATTGTCAAAAAGAGTATTAAGAAGTCCACTCTGCACCAGTCAAACCAATATATCAAAATAAGTGCAACTAGATACCCAGAGGCATCGACAATAGGGGTTGGAGAAGATTCAGGAGCCAGATCCTGATGGCAACACTGGTTACAGGAGCAAAAAGAAAACAAAACCCAGGCTGCCCAGCAGCTTCCATATCAATCCAGGAGTTGAAGTGCTCCTGATGTGTAACAAACCTGTGTTGAGCTCACTCACAACATTTCTCCGAAGTACTACCAAGCCCCTTGGAAAGAGCAGCACAGTTGGCCACCAGTCACCAATGCCAATACCAGGCTATGCAGCAAAGAAACAGAATAGATGGCCCACGTGCACGTTTCATTTGTGCTTAAATAAAATCACAAAATGGCAAACAAGGACAAAACAAAAACCATCTCGGGAAATTATAATCTAATTGAGAGTTTGAACAGTTATAAAAACTCAGTGACAGGATACTGAATACTTGTTCTGGAAATGAGAAGACATCAAATTTCACAAAGCAGTGCCTTTTTTTTTTTTTTTTAATTTTTGTAACTATTTAGTTGTGTATTATGAGTTCCAGGGATTCAACTCAGGTCATGAGGCTTAGGAGCACGTGCCTTTTCCTGTTGAGCTATCTCCACAGAATAATATCCTCAGCCCTTAAACTTTTTTAAAATTTATTTATGTGTATGAGCGTTTTGCCTGCATATAAGTATACCTGTGCTATGTAATGTCCACAGAGGCCAGAAGGTGTGGGATTCCCTGAAATGGACTTATAAAGGGTTGTGAGCTGCCATGTGGGTGCTGGAAACTGAATTATCCTTTTTCCTATATGGCTGTAAGAGCTCTTAGTGGTCACTTGCTTCATCTGTGGCCTGCCGGTCAGCACCGAATGCCTAACTTGCACTAGGATCTGTCCTAGCGGATACCACAGGATATCTGCCCTAGCGGATACCACAGGATATCTGCCCCATCCTCAAGAGGGAGAAAGACAACCAACAAGTAAAGGAAATCCAGTAATTACACATGGGGATCAATGCTCTATATGACAAAAGTTTGGGATTACAAGCTACTCTGGAACAGAGTGATCAGGAAAAGCTACTCCGGATCTAATCAGTGGAGATCCGAGGGGAGAGGAAAACAGCTACATTCACATGCTGTGTGTGTGTATGGAGGTCATTCCAGATAGACAAACCAGAGACTGCACCTTGGAACGGAAAAGTGCATGCGCTTTTTGGTTGGAGCTTAAAGGAGCAAGTGACAAAAATCGAGGCTTATAAACGTAGCTAAGGACTGCATCATACAGGGCCTTGTAAGCCAAGGAATCTAGATGCAAGGGAGGGCTGTAGTATTACTTCAGGTAGGTGAATACGTGATTCAATTTTCTTCCTAAAGATCATCCTACTAAAACGAGATGAGAGCAAGGTTTTAAACGCAAAGAGCCATAAAGTCACATGCAATAATGATGAACTTCTCCGGGCCTCTGGCTTTCTACATGCAAAGCAAGTGGTTTGAGCTAGAAGCCATTTCCTTCTCTCTGAGCTGTGCCTAAGCCGGGGGCTCGGATAGCTCCGGCCCAGACCGAATGACCGAGGACAATCCTCATCCTGGCCGACCAACGCCTAGCACACAACAGGAGTCCTGAAACTGACATGAGGCGCAATCGATGAATGAATGGCTCGGCCGCGGCCGCGCGGGAGTGTGCTCCGAGAGCGGGGCCAGGCCTTGACATCGGAAAAGAACGCAAGGTGCTGCGCGCGAGGCCGCCAGACCGGTCGGGCTAGGATCGCCGGGGTCCGACCCCACCACTGCCAGGGCGCGGAGAGGAGGACGCCGGGACCTTGCGGGCTGGGGACAGAGGCAGCTGGACACAGAGCCCAGCCCTGGGAGCTACAGAGGAGGCCCAGACGCGAGGCCGAGGGCGGCATCCGGGCCCAGCCACTCACCGCTGCCGTCGCCAGGCTGTGCATGTTGGGAGCGGCCTCCGCTCTCCTTCCGCCGGACGCGCCGGACCCGTGTCCCCGCTTCAGCGCCTCTGCAGCGGGAGAGGATGAGCCGCCATCCGCCTCCCGATGGCTCCGCCCTCTCCGCAGCCCTCTGACCTCTGACCCCTGACCCCACCCACACAACCCTTTCCCGCCTCTTGGGCCTCGGTTTAGGTAACAGTTCCAGAGTTTGTTCTTTGACCCTTCGGATTTAGGACCAAAAGGACGTCTGCGACCTACTGGTCCTCGTATTCCCCCAGCTTCGCAGGTACCCCCAGAGGAACGTGAACCCTGACTTTCCTCCTAAGGCCCAAGAAGGGCGGGAAAAGGCCAGCGGCCTCGGGAGGACACGAATTGCGCATGCCCAACCGGGCTGACTGCGAGAGAAATGGTGGGAGGTCGAAATTGGTTTAAGTGGAAAGTGCGCATGTCTGGACAGTAGCGTCACGGCAGGGGAGGGGCTACCCGAGTTGGGGGCGTCGCTTGGTGATTGGGCGGGGTGAGGGCATGAGGGGGCGGAGTTTGAGGGCTTGCGCGCACGCGCTAGGACTGGTCGCGTCGAGTGTGCGTGCGTACGTACGTGTTTGCGTGTGCTCACAGTTCCCGCCATCAGCGGCTTTCCCTGTGTTGGGCCGAGAACAGCCTCGCTGTCTGGGGCTGGTCGTCCCTTCGTTCTGAGCCCTTCGGCTCCTCCCCCTCCGCGGGAACTCCGAGCGTCTGGCCGGCGGGTCCTTGACTCGCGACCCTCCAGCATAGGTAAGGCGGGTCGGGGCAGCTTCTGAACTGAGCCGTTTTCTCCCGCTCCCCCCACCCCCTGAGGTCCGCCCACTCGGCGTCCACTCCTGGAGTTCGGCCGGCTGTTGCTCTGCCGGCCCACGGCCCCTGGGTGCTCCCGGGGCCTTACAGACACCCCACTTGAGTGGTCCACCTTCACTTTCCCTCTCCCTTGACCCTGTCTGTATTGTCACTCGCTTCCTCTGTAGCCTACACCTGGCCCCTGTTCGTTAGGGCAGTGGTCGTTGCCACTCTCCTGGCCGGGTCTCCTGTCTCTCCGGGTGACTTCCGTTGTCACCTATCCATCAGGCCGTGGGCGGAATAGTCCTTGGCGTACTCGAGCGTTCTTTACTTTCTTCCTCTTAAACGCCCCTCACTAAAAGGCAGGAACTAATTTTTTAAACTAATTCTTGTGCATTTGGTTGCTTCCCATATCTAGGCATGGCGCTGAGTTTGTCCGGTTTACCAATTTTAAATCATTATTTGGGAAAGAAAATGGTAATTGATGATAAAGTCCCGAGTCTTGGGAGAGTTGTTCTGTAGTATTGTTTTGGACGGTAGCAATACCTGATGAGTCTCTAGCTGGAAGAGATATCTTAAGAGGGAATGTCAAAGAGGAAGTTGAGTGTATGGCTCAGAGAAGGGTTCTGGGCCAATACATACATAACCATTAGTATGTTATGTATGTATTGGTTCTGCTAATACTTGGAACCATGGATGGGGAGGAAATTGCCCAAAGAGAGTGCAGTGGACTTAAAGTGATCATTGAGAAATTATTAGCAGTTAATAGCTGGATAGAGAGGAGAGATTTCAGCACGAGTTCTATGTCTTGTGTTGCATACCCCTGAAAAATTGAATGAGGTCTGAAAAACCCAGTGACATAAAAGTGATTAGTTGTCTTAGATTTTGACAAAGTAAAATGATGTGGTTTCAGCCCTACGTTCTCTTCTTTAGTTCTTCCATTTTTCTCTAAGCTTTCAATTCCATTTTGCTCTAAGCTTTTCAATTTCCTATATACGGATTTTTTATTTCTAGTATGTTATGTTTTCAGTTTGTCCTTAGGAATTTCAAATATAACATGTCTGAAACCAGAGTTTGATCTTTCTCTCTGTACCCAAATTCTTTCCCTTCCAATGTGAATTTCACTAAGGGGCACATTCATTTATCCAGTTACACAGGGGAGAAGCATGAGAGGCATTTTTTTTTTTTAATGTGTACAAGTTATTGCCTGCGTGTGAGTGCACCCATGTCCTGCGGGGAGGTGAGAGAGGGCATTGGAAGTTAAGGAGGGTTCTTAGTCACCATGCGGGTGCTGAGAGTCAAACCCGGGTCCTCTGCAAGAGCAGTCAATGCTCTTAACCCCTGAGCTATCTCTCCAGCTCGGTAGGCATTCTTTTCTTTAAAAAAGTTATTTTTTTGGGGGGGGGTGTCTTTTTTTTTTTTGAGACACAGTCTCCGTGTAGCCCCAGCTTCCCTGGAACTTGCTATATAGACCAGGCTGGCCTTGAATTCACAGAGATTCACTTGCCTCTGCCTCCTGAGTGCTGGGACTAAAGACTTGCGCCACCACACCCAGCATTGTGTATCATTTTTATTTTACATATATGAGTGTATTGTGTACATGTATGCAAGGACACCTGTGTTGTGCAATGTCTGTGGAAGTCAGAAGAGGGTGTCAGGTTTCCCTGAAACTGGAGTTACAGACAGTTGTCAGCTGCCATGGAGTGCTGGGAATGGAACGTGGGTCCTCTGCAAGAGCAGTAGATACTATTAACCACTGAGCCATCTCCAGCCCCTTGAGAGGCATTCTTGACTTCTTCATCCTATACATATATATATGTATATATATAAAATATACCCTCTCAGTTTTACTTCTAATATAAATCTTGTATTTTTTTTTTTTTGGAATAGTTTTCTAGTTCAAACAGCAGTCCTTTTTCACCTGTATTTGATTTCTGACTCCCAGTATTCCTCCCTATAAAATGGGAATGTAAGGGTGCTACTTATCCAAGTTATTGGATTGTTATGAGGATTAAATGATATAACCTCAGTAAAGTGCTTACATGGAAATTGTAACCATACCTTTAATTCCCAGCACTTGGGAGCCAGAAGCAGGTGGATTTCTGTGAGATGGAGGCCAGCCGGGTCTACGTAGTGAGTTCCAGACCAGCTGGGGCTACAGGCAGACACTGTCTGGGGGAAAAAATTTAATTGTAATTATAAATTGAACAAACAGTACTGCTTTTCTTTCTGGTCACCCTGGTTGGTTTTATTATTATTATTATTATTATTATTATTATTGTTTTTTTTTTTTTCAATTCTTGTTGCTTTCTGTTCTACCCAAACCCAAACCACACCACTTCTCTATTCATTCAACAGTACCATATAATTTCTTTGCTGGAAACCCTTCAGTGGAGTTCCCATTGCTAAGGTGCTTATTACTTTAAGATAAAACTTTAAATCCTGGATTTGGGATGTAGTTCAGTTGGTAGAATGCTTTTCTGACGTGTACAAAATCCTGGGCTCAAGCTCCAGCACCACATAAAACTGAGCTTAAGGTGGAGACAAGAGGATCAGGAATTCAAGGTCGTCCTCAGCTATATATGTAAGCTCTAGACTAGCCTGGGCTACATGAGACTGTCTCAAATTAAAAAAAGAAAAAATCAAAATAGTTACTGGAACCCTCAAGACTGCATAATATGGTTCTTGCCTACTTCATCAGCTTCATCTTCTAACCTTCTACTTTCTCTTTTTTGAGATTTATTTTTATTTTTTGTGTATATATGTGTGGGGGTACCTGTGGAGGTCAAAAGAAGGTGTTGGAGCCTCTGGAGCTGGAGTTATAGGTAGTTATGAGCTGCCTGATATGGGTGCTAGAAACCAAACTCAGGTCTTCTAGAAGAGCAGTACACACTTAACCACTGAGCTGTCACTAAAGCTCCTCCTCTCTCTTTTCCAAAAAAAATTTAATTAAAAAAATATTTTTATTTTATGTGTATGTGTGTATGGCCTGCATGTAGGTAAGTGCACCTATGTCGTGCAGTGCCCATGGAGGACAGAAGAGGCTGTCAGATCCCCTGAAACTGGAGTTATGGATGGTTGTTAGCTGCCATGTGGGTGCTGGGATTTGAACTCAGGTCTTCTGCAAGAACAACAGTGTTCATTTTTTTTTATTATTTTTATTTTATGTGTATGAGTGTATTGCCTGCATGTATGTGAGTGTACCTGTGTTGTGCAATGCCATGGAGGTGAGAAGAGGGCTACAGATTGCCCTGGAATTGGAGTTAAGGACGGTTCATAGCTGCCATGCGGGTGCTGGGAATCCAGGTCCTCTGCCAGAGCAGACACTGCTCTTAACTGCTGATCCATCTCTCCAGCCCTACCTTCTCCATTCTCTTAGCTAACTTCTAGCCATACTGCTTTTAATTTGCACCACACTGTTTTCTAGTTCAGGGATTTTGTATATACCATTCGCTTTACCTGGATTGTCCCAGCACCACCATCCTCCAGTCAACTTGTTCTTTAATTTTCAACTTGAGTGATACTTTCTCAGAGAAACCTTCTCTATCCTCGACCCCTAGGTTAGCTATAAAGCTACTTTTTTTCTAATGTGTATGAGCTCTATACCTGCATGCATGTAAGTGTACCCATGTCGTAGAGTACCTGCAGAGGTCAGAAGAGGCTGTCGGATCCCCTGCGGTTGTTAGCTGCCCTGTGGGTGCTGGGAATTGAACCTGGGTCCTGCAAGAGCAGCTAGTGCTCTTAACCACTGAGCCATCTCTCCAGCCCAAAGCTACTTTCTTAAAAACTGACTCCTACAAGTCGTTCACTAACTGCCCCGATGTGGACCTACATATGCACATACATACATATATAATAAATACATGTTAAAAAACTCACTTTCATTTTAATTTCTCAAGAATTGGTTAAATGAATTAAATTGAAACTTTCTGTAAGAACCATCATGTGTTTTGAAAGCATCACTTTATTGGTATTATGACAGACATTTCATTCTGCAAAGGAGACATAACTCAGCAGTAGAGTGCTTGCCTAGTGGGCTGCTGTGGATATTTTCACTCATTCTTACATTATTAAAGCATTCAGATTTTAGTTTTTAAATTGGAGCTAAATATTTTTCATTTTTTCTTTTGTAAATTGAAGATAAATCTTATCTAGATCAACTTCTTTCAGTTAAAACATTATCTCCTTTGTGTTTGCTTTATGGACTTAAAAAACTTATTTGTGGCCGGGAGGGAAAGAGGGAGAAGGGGAGACAGGAAGGAGAGAAGAGTCACATCATGCATGCATACATGTGGAGGTCAGAAGACAACTTTGAAGAGTTGATTTGTTCCTTCCACTGTAGGATCTGGGTATTGAACTCAGATCATTAGGCTTGGGCAGCAAGCACTTTTACCTGCTGGGCTGTTTCAAAGGCTCTATTTTGTGAACTTTTATTAGTAAAGCCCTTGAAAAATCAGTGAAGTGCTTTATATATTTTAGCAACATGTTAAACTGAGACTACTAGTAAAGATGAGGTTTCTGTAAATAGATAAAGCAGTTCTTGAATGTATGTGTGTCTGTATCATGCCCTCCCCTACTTACATAGAAAGCGCAGAAAACTAGTGCATAAGAAATGAAAAGAACATTGTAGAAAAAGGATTCATTGATTGGGGAAAAAAAATCCTTTGAGATGGGGACTGGGACATGACTGACACTGTTCACTGATGATGAACTGTGGTAGTGGTTAAAATTTTGGGTTTCTGCTAGGCATAATGTACACCTGTAATCCTAGCACTTGGGGAGGTAGAAGGTAGAGTTCAAAGCCAGCTTAACGTGGGACCCTGTTCCAAAAAAAATGGGATTTGGGGGATGGAGGATATTTCTGGGCTTAGATAAAGCTTTGTTTCTTGCCTCTTCATTACTCTCTCAAAGCCTCAATTTCCTCATCTGTAATATAAAATTATTCTTATCCTTTAAGATTGTTGTATTAAATTAAACTGTGTGTTATGGCCTTAAGTACTGTGGTTAGTAAATGCCTAATAGTTATTGGATGGAGTGATGGCAAAGAGATGAGTATTTATTTAGAGACAGGGTCTCATGTATCCTAGGCTGGCCTTGAAACTCACTGTGTAGCTAAAGATGAACCACGAAGTGTGGTCCTTCTGCTTCTACTTCCCAAGTGCTAGGATTAGAGGCTTGCACCACCACACTAGTTAATGCTGTGTTGGAGATCAAACTTAGGGCTTCATGTGTGCCAGGCACGCACTGTACCATTTGAGCTACATCTCCAGCCCAAAGTGATGTTTCTGAATTAGGGGCAGTACGTTTAAAAAGATGGGGTGTGGGATAGTGAGAATGAAGTTAAAGCTGGTAAGATTTCTTGCCTGAATAATGAGAGAAGTATAAACAGGGAAGTCTAGGAAAATTGGTGGGCCATATACTGCACCATCTTTACCATTGTGTTTATCAGTGTCTTCCAGGTGGAGTAGCTCAATGTTTTTTGTTTTTTTTTTTTCCCCTAAACAAACAGATGAGTTAAAAGTTGATATTATTAGCTGGGTGTGGTAGCGCAGACCTTTAATCCCAGCACTCAGGAGGCAGAGGCAGGCATATCTCTGTGAGTTCAAAGCCAGCCTGATCTACATAGTGAGTTCCAGGACAGCTGGGGCTACAGGGAGACCCTGTCTCAAAAAGACCAAAAAAAAAAAACCCCTTGGTATTATTGTATTCAAGTAGGCAGTAGAATCTCAGAATAAGTTGAGATTTAAAGAGACCTTAAATTGAGAAACAAGATTTGTTGTTTATTTAAACTTTCTGAAAGAGAAGTAAAAGCTTGGGTTTCATTGAAAGCACCCTTTTCTCACCTTCTAATATATGTATCAGCACAGCTTAGAAACAGTTATTGAGTAACAATGTTTCTAAAGTCAGCTTAAGGGTAGTATAGTATAGTTTCAAAATCTACCTGCAGTAAATAAACCTAGACACAAGTTGATTGATTTGCAGGCTCTTCCTATAGTTCCTCAATAAGTGTGTTTTTTACATAATAGGGGAGTAATGTCTTTGTTATATACATAGTACTTTTCTTGAGTTTTAATTTTGTATGTTCAATTTTTGTTTTAAGGTACACTTAACACATTTTCTTTAGCTGAGTTGATGGTGCCTGGAAAACTGATTTAGCTGAAGAATATGAATAGTTCCTTAAGAAAAGTGCATTGCTTTTGGTATAAGGAGCAGAATAAAGGTGAATTGTTATTACGTGGAGTTTTTCAGTAAAGGTGACTGAAAAGTAAGTAATGTTTTTGTTTTGGTTGTGTGCTTCCAGTACTATGCAAGAATTGACAGTTTTATATGTTTACTATGATAATACTCTTATGTTTTAGCATGCTTTCTTTAACAGAATGTACCTGAATAAGAGCACTGAAATAAATGAACACTGGAAAAACATTTTTCAATATTAAGCTTAGGTGGAATACTGAAACTTGGATAGTATTTTCAGTTGTGAAATAGTTTAAGGAAAGGAGAATTGCTTAACATAGGCAAAGAATAATTCATTTTTAATTCTCTTTTGCCTTTCTAATATTACTTTGAGAATTACCTTAAAAGAGTACAAGGAATCTTAGATCTTCTGTTCATAGAAAGTTTGTAACCATTGCTGGACATAGTGGCTTGCATCTGTAATCCCAGGACTGGGGAGGCTGAGGCAGGAAAATTGCCATAAATTTGAGGCCAGCCTAGATTGCTACAATATAAGACCCTGTCTCAAAAAAACAACAAAAGAGTTTTTTTTTTTTAATTGTATCTAGATCATATTTCATACTGAGTAAGAAACAGTTTATTTTTCTCAAGTAGGGCAAGCCCTGATAATGTGGTGAATGTTCAAAATTGGTTATTGTTAATTCATTCAGTACAAAAGCAAGTGGGGGACCTGGAGAGCTGGCTTACTGGTTAAAACAATGGCCGTTCTTACAGAGGCCCTGGATTTGGTTCCCAGCACCCACATGATGGCTAACAACCTTCTGTAACTCCAGTTACAGGGCATTTGATGCTCTCTTCTGACCTCCATAGGCACTTACTTGGTGCATTTTCTTGCGGAGAGGCAAAACACTTGTATACATTAAAAATAAATAAATAATTTTTTAAAAAAAGCAGGTGGGCTGGAGAGATGAGTTAGTGGTTAAGAGCACTGACTGCTCTTGCAGAGGACCTGGGTTTGGTTCCCGGAACCCACTTGGTGGCTAACTGTCCATAACTCCCATTCCAGGGGATCTGACTCCTTTTTCTGTCCTCCATGGACATTGCATGGCCTGGGTGCACTTACATACATGCAGGCAATACACTTATAAAGTAAAATTAATAAATGAAAAATTTTTTTTAAAGCAGGTGGTAAGGGACTAAACTGAGGGCAGTAAAGTTTTACTGTATTGATTCTCTTAATTTTATGTCCTGCACCTTTTAGTTTTTCTGATAGAGGAAAGCAAAATTATTTTTAGAAATAAAGAAAATGTTCAATATGTGAAGTTATAAAGTAAAATTTTATACAGATAGCCAAAATTCTGCATCAGAATGTTTTAGAGGCATCTAGAATTGGTTTTTTAAATTTTTTTTTGCATATTTAAGTAAGCTTTGAAGTCTTTGTCTCCAAGTTTTGTTTGATAATGACATTTTTTAAAATTTATTATTTTTTTATGTATGCATGTATTGCGTGCATGTGTATAAATATACCCATGTTATGTAATACCCACAGAGGTCGGAAGAGGGCATCAGATCCCCTGGAACTGGAATTGTGGGCAGTTGTTAGATGTCATGTAGGTGCTGGGAACCAACAAAAGCAGCCAGTAGTCTTAACCACTGAACCATCTCTCCAGCCCCCCGATTTTTAAAAAAAAAATTTATGTGCATGAGTGTTTTGCCTGCATTTAAGTGTACCAGTGTTGTTTGATGCTCTTGAAGACCAGAAGAGGGTGTCAGATCCCCTGGAACTGGAGTTAAGAGGCAGTTGTTAGGTGCCATGTGGGTGCTGGGAACTGAACCTGGGCCCACTGCAAGAACAGCTAGCGTTCTTCACTGCTGAGCCATCTCTCCATCCCTCCTTTTTTGAGGGGGTCTTTTTTGAGACAGGGTCTCCCTATAGCCCCAGCTGTCATGCACCACCACACCTGGCCCCTCCAATATTTTAAAAAGGGTAACATAAAGTTGAATCTTGATTTTATAATCAAGAGAAGGAATGACAGCAGGTTGGGAAGGGGGAATACATGAAAACCTGTAGGCATAACTATAGTGTATAAAGATAGAGTATCAGGAGAATACATAGCTTTGAGGGGAGAATTTTTAGTTGAGATGGCCAAATTGAGGGAACATTTATAGGGAATAGAGAGGATGTAAATCATGGAGCAATATGTCATGTGAATGAGTTTAGATTTTACTGTGAGGATAGTGAAGTCATTGAATAATACTTCTGATTGATGTATCGTTCACTTACAAAGTTACCTAAAAAAGGCATATGGAGGCAGAATTTACAGAATCCAGGTTTACGATTTTCAGTTCAATACCAAAATATCAAGAAGTCAAAGGCATTGCTCATGCTTCTGGCCTGGGACGCTAGTGCTGGAACAGCATATTCTTTCTAATCCCGATAGGCAGAATGGAAAAGTCTGAAGGACATACACAAACAATGAAGCCACAAATAGTTGCAAAAATGTGTTACATATGTATATTGCTTGTTTAAGTGTGTGTTGTGTTACTAGTTTGAGCAAAATGTCACATGAATAGACAGGTCTGTGCACAGTAATGAACTAACTCTTGTTATTCTGATGAATACATATATTCAGAAAATTGCTAATATTTAACTCTGGCTATAGTTGGCCCTCAGAAAATTTTAAGAATGTGGGTGAATAATAATGAATGGCTTAAGATGTATAACTGCAATGAACTATTTCAACATGTTTTCTTTTATCCCTAGTTACTTGCTGTATAGTAACTACAGGCTTTGAAATAGAGGCTCCCCCCCACCAAACTAGTCTTCTGCCTACAGGTGAGTTTTGTTTGGTTTGTAGCTTTTGAAAATAAATTTGAATTTATAGGTTACAACTTAAGTGGGTAGTTTTACATAAAATTCATTTTCTTGAAAAAGGAAGGACATCTGGCAAATCTTGGTTCACGGTTGGTACATGGTTGTAATTAGATTGATTTGGCAGCACTTGTTTGTAAGTTACCTGCCTAAGTCATTTCTCTTTCCTGGCTATCCCCTATAGGCAATTAGTTGGTAACTCCTATTAACAACCTATTTATTGGTATCTTCAGAAAAGGAAGTATCTTAGAGAAGGAATAATTCAGACAATAGACACTAACTTTATACATGTTGATAATACTGTTAGCTGAGGGCCCAATATGTGTTACTTCATCACCCACCATTACAGCATTTATTCCTAATCTGTATGATAACACTTACACTAGAGAAGGTGAGCTACAAATTACTGACAGAACTGGCTCCCAATTTCTAGACCTAGCATCTCCCTTTTCATAATCCCTTTCCCAGTTGAGCCACAGTAATACTATTTCATGATCTTTAATTTATTAAATTGTAAATAAGAATCCATTTTAGAAGTGCTGTTTTAGACACAAAATATATAAAAATTTAGTAATTATAAATGTATACATATGTATTATATAGCACACTATTTGATAACATTGTGTGGTGTTACTATAATTTTATTTCCTAACTTTGGCAAAACTGGTTGAGTGTTAGATATTTTATTGATTGCTGTAAGTCATTAGTGTTAAAACATTCATTCAAAGGGCTGGGGAGATGGCTCAATGGATAAAATGCTTGCTGTGCAAACCTGATGACCCATGTTTGGATCACCAAAACCCATAAAAGCTGTACATGGTCGTGCACACATCCATAGTCTCAGTGGGCCCCTGTCAGGAGATGGGAGGCAGAGACTGGAGAATCCCTAGAAACGTAAGGGTCAACTTGCTTGGTACATGCAGCAGTGACCAGGAGAAACCTTGTTTCGTATGAGGTGGAAGTGAGTGACAACCAGGGTTAGCCTCTGACTTCCCTCAATAGTGCTTATAGTCATGCACCAACATCATATACACACTTAAAAAAAGAAAAAAGTTCATTCAGAAATGTCAAAAGTTAAATTTCTTCAGATCTTTTTAGAAATGGGAATGTTAAATATCAGATGTCTCTTAGAAAGGAGTAAGATTTTTCTTTCTGTTTTTTCTTTAGTGTTTAAATGGATTTTCCATATAATGTATTTCTGGATGTTGAACTAATTTTTTATTCATTTAACATCTTCTATACATGTGGATTTACTTAGGTTGCTGAATACTTAAGTGTTTTGGGAGAAATGCCATATTCTAAGTAATAGAGGCAGTAGACTGAAATTTTCTATTTATTTAAATATGAAGTAAAAGTCCTGTTACCATTTATACAGAAAGAAAAAGTATTTATTTATTTATTATTTATTTTTGAGGCAGGGTCTCCCTGTAGCCCCAGGTAGCCCAGAACTTATTATTTAGACCAGGCTGACTTCAACAAAGATCCATCTGCCTCTGCCTCCTGTGTGGTGGGACTACCGGAGTATGCCACCACGCCTAGCCCAGTACTTTAATGGTGAAGTAAACTAAATTGAGAATGGAATCTTTCTTACTACTAATTGACGTGTCCATAAGTCGACTAACTTATTATGGCTGGTGCAAAATGTGAATATAGTACCTAATAGATACAGGTATTGGACACATGGCAAAGAAACAAACATGCAGTAAAAAGATACAGTCAGATTGAATGTCAGTGCCTACTTTAGCTGTCTGTCTTACCTGTGCTCTTCAACTAACCAGGGCTTTTGAGGATGTGCCATAAGAGTGGTTTATTGAAATGGAGAAAGCGATAGAAAATAGTTCATTAGGCATCTTCTTTAAAACCATTTTTAATCATTTGTAACTTGTTGTATTTTTCTTCTTTAGAATCTGTCAGGTGAACATATATTTTTGCTTTTTAATTTGGTCAAAAGCAATTTATTTTTAAAGAAAATATGTCTCCTCTGAAGATACATGGTCCTATCAGAGTTCGAAGTATGCAGACTGGGATTACAAAGTGGAAGGAAGGATCCTTTGAAATTGTGGAAAAAGACAATAAAGTCAGTCTAGTAGTTCACTACAATACTGGAGGAATTCCAAGGATATTTCAGGTATTAATCAAATGCTGATTTGTAATGGTTCTTTAATGAGATCCTTTAGTAGTAACTGCTGTGCCATAGTGGTAGTACTGTAGCCACCCTGCAAGGCTTCTTGTTTCCAGGACACCAATACTTCTTGTTATTGTTTTGGTATCTTTGAGATAAAGTCTCCTGGTAGGCCCAGCTGGCCTGGAATTTGCTATGTAGACCAAGCTGGCCTCCATCTCACGGGGGATTAAGGGCATGTGCCACCAAGCCCAGCAACACTAAGACTTCTATGTACCTGTTTTATGCATTATTCAACAGTTACTTAGACTTTAACAAAGAACAGGAAGAAGTCTTCATGGTTGAAAAGAAAACTAGTGGGAAAGAACTTAGAAGAATTTAAGCACTGAATATTTAAGCTGTGTCAAAAACCACATTACAGCTGTGTGCAGTAGTGTACATCAGTAATCCCAGCACTTTATAGGAGGAAGCAGGAAGATTAGGAGTTAAGGGTTGTCCTGGGCTCTATAGCAAGTTTGAGACCAGCCCAGATTACTTGAAACCCTGTCAAAAAAAAAAAAAAAAAAAAATACGGGACTGGAGAGATGGCTCAGTGGTTAAGAGCACTGACTGCTCTTGCAAGGGACCCAAGTTCTATTCCTAACACCTGCATGGTGGCTTAACAACTGTCTATAACTCCAGTTCCAGGGGATCCAGTACCCTCTTCTGACCTAGTCTGGCTTTGCACAACATGTATGCACTTATATAAAAGCAGGCAGTACACTCATAAAATAAAACATTAGGCCAGGCGTGGTGGCACACACCTTTAATCCCAGCACTTGGGAGGCAGAGGTAGGCTGATCTCTGTGAGTTCAAGGCCAGCCTGGTCTACATAGTTTCAGGCCAGCTGGGGCTACAGGGAGACCCTGTCTCAAAAAGACCAAAAATAAAATATAAATAAATTACTAAAAAATAACAATAGTAACAAAACAACAAAACTGAAGATTAGGCCAGATGTGGTGGTACATGCCATGAGCCTAACACTCTCTGAATGCTGAGCCGGGGGACTAGGGCCATGAGAACCTGTCTGGAAAAAACACAGAGCTGGATAGGAGCATGAGCTCAGTGGTTGCACTTGGAGTCAATCTCTGACATCACCAAAAAAAAAAAAAAAAAAAAAAAATTAGGACAACCTAAGTTAATCCTTTTAAAGATTTTAATTTTTTTTTTTTTTTTTTTTACTATTCTATTCTAAATTGTATGTGTATGTATACATGAGTGCAGGTGGCCTCAGAGTCCAGAGGCATCAAATTCTTCTGGAGCTGATTATAGGCAGTTATAAGCCTCCTGATAAAGGTGCTGGGAGCTGAACTTAAGTCTTCTGGAAGAACATTATATGCTTCTAACCACTGAACCATCTCTCCAGCCCCTGTTTGTTTATTTGTCTTTTTGAGACAAGATCTCCCTGTATCCCCAGCCGGCCCCTGGAACTCACTTTGTAGAACAGGCTGACCTTCATCTCAGAGATCAAGATTGGAGGTGTGTACCACCATACACCATACCTGGGCTGCCTTTTATTTCTTTTAAGTACCTGATGGATTCATTTAAGGGGTGGTGTTTTGTTTTGTTTCAGTATGTTTTGATTTTATTCATTTTTTTGAGATAGGATTTCCCTGTAGCCCCAGCCAGCCTGTATAGATAAGACTGGCCTTGATCTTATACTGCCTCCCTAGTGCTGGAACTAAAGGAAGGCATTTATCAACATGCCTGACTTGCTTTTTTTGAAACAGTGGCTCACTATACAGCCTTTTTTGGCCTATAACTAGGTATGTAGACCAGGCTTGTTTCAAATTCAAAGAGATCTGTCTGCCTCTGCCTCCTGAGCACTGGGATTAAAGGTTAAGTGTCATTGACTTTGATGGATGATTGTTCAGGTCATGGTTTGGTTTTTGTTTGTTTTTTTTTGGTCTTTTTGAGACAGGGTTTCCCTGTAGCCCCAGCTGGCCTGTAACTCGCTATGTAGACTAGGTTTGTTTCAAACTCACAGAGATCTGCCTGCCTCTGCCTCCTGAGCATGGGGATTAAAGGTCAAGTGTCATTGATTTTGATGGATGATTGTTCAGGTCATGTGTTTTTTTGTTTGTTTGTTTTTGTTTTTTTTTTTTGGTATTTTTGAGACAGGGTCTCCTGTAGCCCCAGCCGGTCTGGAACTCGCTATATAGACCAGGCTTGTTTCAAACTCACAGAGATCTGCCTGCCTCTGCCTCTTGAGCACTGGGATTAAAGGTCAAGTGTCATTAACTTTGATTGTTCCGGTCATCTTTATTTTTTGGCCTTTTTGAGACAAGGTCTCCCTGTAGCCCCAGCTGGCCTGGAACTCACTATGTAGACCAGACTGGCCTCGAACTCACAGAGATCCACTGGTGTCTGCCTCCCAAGTGCTGGTATTAAAGGCGTGTGCCACCATACCGAGCATGTTTAGGTCATCTTTATAAAGCTCTTTCCTTCTAGCTGTAAAAATTTTGAAGGATCCTTATTACTTATCACTACAAAGGAAAATAGTTAATTTTGGGCCAGAGATGACTCCGTCGGTAAAGGTTCCTGCCATCAAGCCTGAAAACCTACATTTGATCCTTTTGATCCACATGGTAGAAGGAGAGTACCAGTTCCCATAAGCTGTCTTCACACACACACACACACACACACACACACAGTGGCATGCATGTACCTTCACACACAAAATAAAATGTGATAAAATTTTTTAATTAATTTCATTTCGCACCTTTTTTTCCTCTTTTTAAAATTATACTTTTGAAAAAATTTTAAAAATTTTATATCGGTATGAGTGTTTTGCCTGCTTGTATGTAAGTGCACCATGTATATGCAGTACCTTCAGAGGCCAGAAAAGGATGTTGGATCCCTTATAGCAATAGTTACAGGCAATTGTTAGCCACCATATGGGTGCTGGGAACTGAGCCTGGGTCCTTTCCAAGAACAGCCAGCACTCTAACTGTTGAGCCATCTCTCTAGCTCCTTATTTCATTTCTGTACTATTGTACAGCTAAGAGCTGTTCATATTCGTGAATTGAATTTAAGAATGTGGTGGCACATTACTGTAAAGAGTCTGGTACAACAGAATCACAAGTTCAAGACTAGCCTGGGCTACATAGTAAATTTGAAGCCAGCATAGGATACATGAGACTGTCTCAAAAACCCAAAAACTGTATCTTACATTTCTAAATACTTTTAAAAAAATCTATATTGGTTAATTCATTTATATAAAAATATAATACTCTAAACTTAGTATTTGTTGAAGAACATTTTATAACTTTATGTTGAAAAATCTGATCTGAGATAAAATTTCTGTTTCTACCTTTGAACTGTGAAAATAAAGTACTTACGTTTTTGTATATCAAATACATTTTTGTCTAGAGTGTTGGTACATGCTTGTAATTCCAGCACTTGGGAGCTAGTGACTGGAAGAATAAAAGTTCATTATGTAGTGGGTTCAGGGCCAGCCTACATTCTAGCAAGACCCTGTCTCAAAAGGCTGTGTGAGATGGCTCAGGGAGGGATGACACTTGCTGCCACAGCATAGGAGAGAGTCAGCTCCCACAGGTTGTCCTTGCACCTTTACTGGCATGCCATGGCACTACCACCCATACACACAGAATAAACAAAATGTAATTAAAAGATTAAAAAAAATATTTATTGGGGCTGGAGAGATGGCTCAGTGGTTAAGAACACTGTTCTTGCAGAAGACCTGGGTTCGAATCCCAGCACCCACATGGCAGCTAACAACTATCTGTAACTCCAGTACCAGGGGATCCAACAGTCTCTTCTGTTCTCTGAGGGCACTGCATGACACGGGTGCAGTTACCTACGTGCAGGTGATGTACGCGTACACATAAAAATAATAAAATTTTTAAAAAATATTTATATGTATGAGTATATTGCCTTTATGTGTGTAAGTGCACTGGTATCGTGTAGTGCCCACAAGCACGAATATGAACAGCTCTTAGCATCGGATCCCCTGGAACTGGAGTTAATGGGCAGTTGTTAGCCGCCGTGTGGGTGTTGGGAATTGAACCCGAGTCCTCTGCAAGAGCAGTCTGTGCTATTACCACTGAGCCATCTCTCCAGTCCCCAGTGAAAAGATTTTTTAAAAGCTAAATTTGGCCTTTAGTCCCAGCACTCAGGAGGCAGAGGCAGGTTGATCTCAGTGAGATAAAAGGCCAGCTTCATCTGCATAGTGAGTGCCAGGCCAACTGGGATTACAAGGAGATCCTGTCTTAAAAAGATCGAAAAAAAAAAGCTAAATCTGGGCTTGGTGAGATGGCTCAGCAATTAAGGATCTGGGTTTGGTTCTCAGTACCCACATCACAGCTATCAACCATCAGTAAATTCAGTTCCAGGGGATCTAATGCCTTCTTCTGACTTCCATGGGCTTTGAATGCATGAATACACTTACATATGTGCAGACAAACACTTATACATCTAACATAAATTTAAAAAATTAAAAGAAAAAAGCTAAATCTGTCAGGTATGGTGGTATGCACCTTTAATCCTAGCGCTTGGGAGGCAGAGGCAGACAGATCGTGAGATCAAGGCCAGCCTGGTCTGCATACTGAGTTCCAGGCCAGGTGGGGCTACCAGGAGACCCTGTCTCCAAACAAACAAAAAAGCTAAATCTGATCTGGGCTTGGTGGTTCATAGCTTTGATCCCAGTACTTGGCAGGTAGAGGCAGGCAGAGCTCTTTGTATTTGAAGCCAGTTTGGTTTGCATAGTGAGTTCTAAGCCAGCCAGTTTGGAATTTGAGAGATGACTCAGCAGTTAAGGGCAAGCACTATTTTCTCAGAGAACCTGAGTTTGATTACCAGAACCTATGTCAGGTAACTCAGTACCTACCACTTGGAACTCCAGTTCCAGGAGATATAAGTCCTGGACACCTATACTCATGTATACATACCCACTTACAGACACACAGTGAATTCATGTTTAAAAATAAAAGTAAATCTTGAAAAAAAAATATTTGTGTTAAGTGTATTAAGAAATGAGAACTCCTTTTATTTGAATTTAATTACCATAGGAAAGAGCGAGAACTTGAAATGCATAAAGTTTAGCATTTTTAGACAATTATAATTTGTTTTGTATTTTGGGTGATAATTTTTCATTTTCTTTTTTTAGCTGAGTCATAACATTAAAAATGTGGTACTTCGACCCAGTGGAACAAAACAACGTCGCCTGATGTTGACTTTACAAGATAATAGTTTCTTGTCTATTGATAAAGTACCAAGTAAGGATGCAGAGGAAATGAGGTTGTTTCTAGATGCAGTACATCAGAACAGACTTCATGCAGGTGAGCACTAGTCATCCTGTGAGTCTGACATTAGCAGTTTTAAAAGAATATGAACTAAGGGCTGTGGATATGGTTCAGGTGCTAGAGTCTTTAGCATATATGAGGCTTGGGTCAGTCCTTACCACCTGAGTACCACATACACCAGCTGCCTGTAGTCCCCAAATTTGAGAAGTCGGGCAGGTAGGTAAGGATCACAATTCAAAGTCATCCAGAGCAATGTAGTTTGAAGCCATCTTGAGCTACGTGAGACAGAATATGATGACTGGACACCTGTATTCTTGATGGATACTGATGGAAAAATCCTCAACAAAATACTGAATTCCGTGACACAATACAAGAATTATACCAATATAATCAAGAAAGATTTATTCCTAGAATGTAAGACTAGTTCAACGTATGAAAATCAGTCTTTATAATACATTACATTAATAGAAGGAAGGATAAATTCCACATGATCATCTCAATTGATGTAAAACAATTTTAACAAAATTTAATATTCTTTCATGATAAACACTCTAAATAGATAAAGCAGCAGAAGAAAACTGTTAAACCCACAGCAGACATACTCCATAATGGAAAACTAGAAGTTTTTTTTTCAAGTAACAAAGTACCTGATTTTGCTATTTGTATTCAATATAGCACTTGAAATCTTTTCCAGAGCAGTTACACAATAAAGAAATAAAGGGTACCCAAACTGAAATGGAGGAAGTAAAGTTTTTCTCTTGTTAATTGGGCCTCATCTGGTCTGGAACTGAGAATTAGACCAGGCTGGCCTCAATCTCACAGAGATCTACCTGCTTCCTCAGTGCTGGGATTAAAGGCATGCCTCACCGTGCCCGGCCACTGATAGCTTTTAACTGAGTTTCAAGTTAAATGTAACACATTCAGAACAGGCTGGATGTGTAACTCTGACGTAGAGCAGATAGTTAGCATGCTTAAGCCCCAGAACCAACCAACCCCTCCCTTCTCCCCATCAGAAAATGGAGATGTAGCAGTCTGAATTTTCTTATTTTTAGTTGATATACTGGTACACCATTCTTGTAAAAGTTTTTCCTGGTTTGTGTTTAGTACCTACTCATGCTCATGCACCATGCCTGGACTGTGTTGAGTATTAAATAACTGAGTTCAAGCAGGTATGATGGTAAATGCCTCCTATCCCAGCACTAGGAGGCCAGCCTGGGCCAAATAGTGAGTTCAGCTCTATTGAGACAAAGAATTTGAAAAAGGATGGGGGGGGGGGGTTTACTGGTATGCACACCTGTGACCCCAGCACCTGAAAGACTGAGGCAGGAGGATTGTGAGTTTGAAGCCAGCCTGGACTGCATAGCAAGACCCTGTCTCAAAAAATCAATTTACTTTAAATTCTTAAGATGTGTTAGGATCTGTGCCTTTATTCCTATTCTGTTCTCTTCTTCCATACTCATCATCTTAATTGAATCACAGTCTTAAGAATTGGTATGTGTAGCAAATCATGTCTTTAAATGCATTGGAGTGAAAAACATAGTATACTCACTGGATACTCACACTTGAAGAACATGGAAATAAGGGAAACTTTTATACTTTGGACCCGACTAGATTTGGGTTCTAATCCTAACTCTGTTTATTTTCTGTATCATTTAGACAATTCATTTAACAACTGAGTTTCAGTTTCCTCATATGAAGGTTCTGTTAACTATTTAGAGGTGTGTGTGTATGTGGGTCCTCATGAAGGTTCTGTTAACTTACTATTTAGAGGTGTGTATGTTTGTGGGTGTATATGTGTGTGTTTTATTGGATATTGGTAGGCAAACACTCTACCACTAAACTGTATCCCCTGTTCTATTTTTATTTTTAGATATGGTCAAGGTAAGTGGTATAGGCTGGCCTCAAACTTTCTATCCTCATACTTGAATCTGCTACATAGCTTGGATTATGGGCATATACCACCACACCCAGCTAATTTCAGGACTTTTTAGAGAGTGGGTGCTGATAAATGTGTGGCATGACTGCTGAATGAGACATTCAGTAAAGCATAGCTGTTACTAGTCAGCTGTGAGCTTAACTGTACCTTACTCTTTGACCTTGGCCTAGTCATTTTAATATTTTAGGTTTAGTTACCTTAATATGCAACAATGATATATTTTGCAAAGACTAGTGTAAAATAATGAATATAAAAATGCCTTCAAAAATAAAGAGCTGGGCATGGTGACAGATATCTATAATGCCACTACTGGGGAGGTGGAGGCAGGAGGATTGCAAGCTCAGGGCCAGCCTAGAGTGTTCTGGGCTATATAGCATCCCTCCTTCCTTCCCTTCCCCCTTCCTTTCTTCTTTCCCTCCTCTTCACACAATAATAATAAAATAAAGATAAAGGAAATTATAAAACATTTAATATAGTGGAAAAGAACATTTGATACTGTTGTCTGCATGCAAGGTAAATAGTTAACTACTTAAGATAATAATGGTATACATCTTTGTCTCATCTAAGCTTTTGTATCACAGACTTGAATATAAAAAAGTAAAATAATAGAAGTGTTATTTAAGGAAGAGAATGAATTCTAACAGTCTAGATAGAAAAGAAAGAATGAATATTGTTATGAATATTGTATTAAATTGAATCAGTAAAAAGAAAGAAGCTTAGACTGTGGAACATTTAAATAATCTCCATGGCAAGGGAAAAAGACAAAACATTAGCCAAAGTGATATCATAGAATAATTAACTTCTTTTTGGGGTGCTAGGAATCAAACCCAGAGCCTTACATGCTAGGCAAACACTCTACCAAGTCACAGTATGACACACTGACTCATAATATGTTGATAACACATTAACGTTTTGAGATAAGGCCTTGCTAAATTGCTCAGACTAGTCTTAAACTTGTCCTCCTATGTGACATAATGTTAATTTCCTTATGATACAAAAACCCATTACACAGATTAGAACCCAGGAGATAAATGGTCAAAACTGCAAATAGAGAATTCAGAAGAAAAAGTAGATGAACCTTAAACATGAAAAAGTTCTCAATTTAGTAATTAAACTCAAGTTCTTGCTTTGACTTTGGCAGCTTTGTGCAGAGAAGCAAGATAAGAAGCATATACAAAGACGGGCGTGGTGGTGCACGCCTGTAGTCCCAGTACTTGGGAGGCAGAGGCAGGCAGATCTCTGTGAGTTCAAGGCCAGCCTGGTCTACATAGTGAGTTCCAGGACAGCTGGGG